AAAAAAAAGTGAAGTCCTTTATTTTTGGTCCCAAGCAGATAAATAATTTTTACTCTCCTGGAGAAACTGAAGCCTGATACAAAAGACCTTATCCTTACAAAATTCCTGCGGACTTCTCTGCTTCTGGATTGCTGAACTGGACCCACTGTGATTACACTGGGAACATTTCTCACTAGGGAACTGTTCAGCAAAAGCTGGTTTATAGATAACAATTTCACTCCTCCTTTGCCTGTATCTGTTTAAAATCCACTACAGCCCCTTGTACATGTGTAAAGGTGCTTATGGGGTATAGCTTATTTCCACCCACAGCAGCAGCTGTGTTCATCTTGGAGCCCTTGTAGCAATATTTGTGTCCGTATTATTTCATCCTGCCACCCCTCACAGCTGTGCCTGTGCACCAGGGGGCTGTACTTGAACAGCATCCATTTCTAAATGACTATACTTACGGCTCTGTGAAAACGGGGCGTGGACCAGCTCAAAGTTTTAAAAAATAGAGATTGTTGTAAAAGGGACACCCGCACTGAGCAGCAAAATGACTCTTTTTACTGCCCTGTTCTTTTTAATTGGCTTTCGTTTGTGATTGCAGGCAGAGTGGCCTGCTCGTGGACAAGGTGTTAACAGAGCTATCCCTGGGATGGATCAGTGCCGGGTGCTGTTTCACTTTTCACTGTAGTAGATATTTCTTCTTTAAATAAAAAAGGTTTAGGTTTTCTTTCAGTGAGTCCTCCTAGTTTTATCACGGGTGTGGTTTTAGGGATCAGAAAGAGCGGATATTAGGATTTTTAAGGGGCGGGGGGGAGGGCTGAAAGATTTTGTTTCATGTGGGTTTTGTTGTTGTTGTCATTCTTTTATCACAGTCCAAGGCACAAGGCAGGCTTTGAAAACAGGTGAGTCACGGGGCTGGGAATTTGGGAGTGGGGCTGTCTGAGGGTTTTACTCTCCCTGCAGCTCCGGGGTTGTCACATCTCCGTGTCCGTAGCCTTTAAAGGTTGCAGGAGTGTGCCCAGGAAGGGAAGGCGGGCAGAGCAGCCCCCCTGGCCCCCCGGGCTCGGACCCCAGCACACGGCACGCCTGGTCAGGCGGCAGACAATGCGCGCTGCTTGCCACCAGCCCGGCGGCACCAGGCGGCTGACAGCCGCCGCTGCCCATCAGCGCCCCGAGATGTTGAAAGAGCCGTAAAAGGCAGCGCAGGCTGCCGGGGGCTCGGCACGGGTGTCGCCCCCAGGTGCGGGCCCCCGGAGGGTGGGATGGGGAGGCTCCGCGGGGCCGGTCCCGTCCCGCCCCCCGCCCGCAGCGCTCCCCTGGCAGGGACCGGCGCTGGCCCCGGGGAGGGGCGCAGTCCTGCCGCCCCCCGGCCACCCCCGCTCCTCTGCTGGCAGGACACGGCAGCACGCTCAGACACAGGAGTACTTGGAATAGCTGAGCCACCTGCAATGGGGTGATTTTCTTTTTTTTTTTTTTTTTTTTTTTTTTTTTTTTTTTTTTTTTTTTTTTTTGTTTTTTTTTTTTTTTTTTTTTTTTTTTTTTTTTTTTAATGGGAGGTAAAGGGGACGGGGGACGCGGGGGTTCGCAGGACATTGCCTTCCTTCTCCGTTACTAAAACAAAAGCCAAATAAAGTGGAAAGGCGGTAAAGCTTTCTTTTGTTTGTTTGCTTGTTTGTTTGTTTTTAAAACAGAAATTTAAAAATAAATAAATAAATAAATAAACACCAAAAAAAACAAATCCCGATCAGTAAAGCAGGCAGGAAGGCTGAAAATTTAAACTAATAACCTCCTTCCCCCGCTGCTGCCCCTTCCCGTCGGCAGCCACACGTGTTACCTGCGCTCCCGGGGGACGGGCGGCCGGGGGGGTCCCGCTCCCTGCCCGGCCCCCCTTGCCCAGCTCGCCGGGGCCGCCTCCGCCGCGGGGCTCGGCCGGCCGAGCGACGAACAATGGCCAGGGCCCCGCGGGGCCGGGCGGCGGGGGCTGCGGACACCCCCGGGGCCAGCGCCGGGAGCCGGGCGACGAGCGGCGAGTGGCGAGTGGCGAGCGGCGAGTGGCGAGCGGCTGCAGCCCGCCCGAGAGGGGAGATGGGGTTCAGGCCAGGTAACTCGCAGGCTGCTCCGAGCTCGCCTGCTGGTGTTCATCCGAGCTTCATCCCCGCACGGCTCGCACGGGAAGCGGGAGAAGCGGAGGAAAGGGAAAGGGGAGAGAGGGAGAAAAAAAAAAAAAAAAAAAAAACGACGAGGGGAAAATTGCTCGGAGCGCACGCAGAGCCTTGTTTTGTTACTGTTATTATTATTTGGGGGACAAGGGGGGAGTTGTGTCCTTAATCCGAGGCTCCCTGCCCTCCCCACCCCCAGATGCTATGAAAGAAGAGCTGATTTCGTCTCCACCATACAGTACACTTTGTCTAGAGAGCATTGTTCGGACAAGCAACTCCCGATCACTGATGACTACAAAATACGATTTATGTTTCCATCAGAGACAGACAAAATATCCTGATGGCTTGAAAGTCGGGCAAGAAAACCTTACCTAATCAATCCCTTTCCAATATACACACGCACATACACACACACACAGCCCGTATAGGAGATAACGCCCGCACTGACTGTACATAAAATAAATATCGGCAGCACGAAAATTAACAACAGTCATTTCTATATTTTTCGTCTCCCTTCAAAGCGCTACAATAATATAGTTTGTGCTTTCCTAGTTTGATGTCATCATCAGTAACATAATTTATATTTAAAAAAAGATCTTAAAGAGCATGCATTTTTTTTTTAGATGCAACATGAACAGATATAGTAAAGAGAGCTTGTAACATCACAATCACAACAACAACAGCAAAAGCAACCTCTGAGCCGGGGGGTTCATCCGTATCTGAACTGCTTTTTATTATCATTTGCGAAATTATAATAAGAGTAAATAATAAGTAAGAGGCATCATCGTAACAGAAAGAAGTCAGAACACCTTGGGTTGGGTTTTTTTTTTCCCTCTCAAATAAAAAGGCAGACTTCCCGATGATCACTGAAATTATAACGACAGCGATTGATCGGACGGCTTGCAAAGGAAAAGAAAAAAAAAAAATCATCATCATTGGTCCTAAAAACGCAACCGTTCCCCTTTGCTCACTTGGCACAATAGAAATTGACTGTCTCTCAAAGAGCCATGCGCCTAGTGCTATTTATAGCCAGGGGCTGTGTTGGAAGATACCATTGAGCCTCTGCCGGGCAGACAGACAGGGGGGTGGTTGGATGGGAGGAGGGGGTTTAGCCGGAGTAGAGGCAAAAGCAATCCCCCACCCCTAGCCTCCCTTCCCCGTACACACACACATCCACACACTCACACCCCACCCCCTAGTCTGGCTGGGAATTTGAACCGATCCAGCCTGTTTAAACGGAAAGGACACAGATCTTCAATGTAAAAAAAAAATCAGATCAGACCCAGAGAGAGAGAGAGAGAGAGAGAGAGAGAGAGAGAGAGAGACAGAGAGGGAGGAGTGTGTGTGTGTGTGAGTGTGTGTGTGTGTGTGTGTGAAAGAGGGAGAGGGAGCGAGAGAGCGAGAGAGAGGGAGAGAGAGAGGGAGAGAGAGGGAGGGAGAGAGAAAAGAAGAGGGGGAAAAAAAGGAAAGAAGATTTTCTCTATGTATATAAAGATGGCCACGTTAGCAAACGGACAACCAGACAATACCAGCCTGAGTAGCAATCACAGCAACCCCAGCACCAACGGGCATATGAACGGATTAAACCATAGTCCCGGAAACCCATCCACCATCCCAATGAAGGACCACGATGCCATTAAGCTCTTTATTGGGCAGATCCCCCGTAACCTGGACGAGAAAGACCTCAAACCGCTCTTCGAGGAGTTCGGGAAGATCTATGAACTGACGGTGCTGAAGGACAGGTTCACTGGCATGCACAAAGGTGAGTTACCTCCTGAACTTTCCCGGGAGAGATCGGGAGAGAAAGGCAGGCTCCCTCTCTCTCCCTGGCTCTCTCTTTCTCTCTCTCTCTTTCCTTTCGATTTCATTTCATTTTATTTCATTTTTGGTTGGCCCGGGGGCGGAGGCGGCAGGCTGGGGGGGCAGGGAAAGAAATAATAGACCCATCCTGGGAAGAGAAGAGCGAGAGTCAGGGCAGGGAGTCAGCTCCGTTTGGCTTATTTATTAGTATTTTTATTTCTTTCCCCGCTTTTTTGGGGGGGTGAGAAGCAGCTCCCGGGGAGCGCCGGGCGAGCGGCGGCGCGGGCGCGGGGCCGGCGGCAGCTGTCCGCGGTGCTGAAGCCGGAGCGGGTGCTCTGTATTTACCTTCGGGAGCCGCTCTTCGTCTGCCCAGGGGTGTGTGTGTCCGTCTGTCTGTCCCTGGGTTCCTCCGATTTTAAAACTGATCTGTATCTGGAACCGGCGGCTTTTATTTTCTTTCTTTCTTCTTCTTTTTTTTTTTTTCCTTTTTTTTATTTTTTTCTTTTTTTATATTTTTTTGGCATTTTTTTTTTCTTTTTGCTGCTGTCACATTCATTATTTGTAGTCCTCTACAAAGCAAGAAGTGGAGGAGAGTGAGTTGCTCCGGGGGGGCTATTTTATTTTGGTTCTATTCAGCACGGGAATAGGGTTATAAACAACAATAAAGAAACCCATCTCAAGCGGGGCAGGGGTGTGTGCACAAAATCGTGGTATGTGTGCATGTGTGGGAAAAGGCAAGACAGAAAGGACAGGTGGCAGCTTAGTTCCAGGGGGAAGAAGTCTCTGACCAGGCATATTCGAAACAGTACTTTAATGTGCCCGAAGTCCATGCCGGGAACTTTTTAGGTTTTCTCTAAAGGTAGTGGAGATGTACTTCTCACACGATGCCTCACTTGCTCCATCTCTGCCCGCTCATTTCCCTGCTCAGCTTAGGCTCTCCGGAGGTGCCTATCAGATTAGATGGTGCTCCGTTTTGGGGTGGGGGAGGGTGTGTGTAGTGGGGGAGAAATGCTCAGATCCTCGGGTAGGAAAGTAGGACTCGCAGGGAGGAAGTTGAAGGTAATCTGCATAGTAGCCCCGCTTAGGAGCAGGAGAGAAACAGGAGCAACATGAGCCACCTTATTAACTCAGATTCTGAGTATATGTGTGTTTATATTAATTTTTTAGAAAGTAAAGGGAAAAGAAAAACACCGAGTCAGAAGTAATTGGGGTGTGACTCCAGATTTAGTGCAGGAGGAGAAAGCGTTTTGCACGGGGCCACAGGGAGAGTGGAAGTTGTATCTTTTACAGGACGGCTTCAGTACCAGCGTCTAGTCCAGCTTGGTAGACTCCTGGCAGTGACAGTCACCGGTAATGGCATTACTGGCTTCCCAGCTTTCCAGATGCCTTGGCGAGTTGTAAATCTTGAACTTAACGGCATGTTTAGCAAGCATCTCTTCCCCCTTCCTACTCACTCTCCTCCTTGCTTCCACTCTCAGGAAACGCAAATGAAAATGTACCCTGACAGTGCAAAGTACCATTTTTACACAGGCTAGAGAAAACGTTCAGGGCTCGGGGACTAGGGGCTCAGTCTAAGTTATAGGATATTTCTTCCAGCCTTACTTGCCGGTCGCTTCAAACACCCTTCTCATTTTTAAAATGATCAGTGTAGCTCTTTCGAACCTTGCTTTCTTTTTGGACTGTCTTCCTAGAAGCCACATCACGGTCTAATTGGCATCATTTAAACATGACACCCGTCCTATAATAATTATTAATAATAGCAATAAAAGAATAGTAAGAAGTGCAAGGAAGGAAGGGTCCTGAGAGATTTCATCTAATAGTGAGAGTAGACACTGAGCTTATGTGTGTGCGTGCATGTGTTTGCAAAAAATTATCTAAGGTTTCTGTAAAATAAAAATAACAGCAGTAAAAGCTACACTGAAGAGAATCACTCAACATAGTGTAGAGGAAATCTTTGAGCTAACACTTCAATAAAGTATTTTTTTGGTAGTGGGAGGTTACTGTGATTTGTTGATGAGATTTTATTTTGTTATGTTTTATCTTAAACCTGAAATTAATCATCCTGTGTGCTAACTTCAATTCCTATTTCATAGATTTGAGTTCTCCCTCTTTCAGTTCAGTTTTGCTTTTACTGTATGCCTGTATTCACAGAGACAAACTCAGGAAGGGGGAGAGAGAGAGAGAGAGAGAGAG